TCCTTAGTTAAAAAAGTTTTGTAACAAAAACAAAAACAAAAACTAGTCTTATAGTTATGGTATGTATATTTTGAAGTTATTCATAGAAAAATTTTCCTTTTTAATTGAATATCTGCTTCTTTTAGAAACCTTTACACTACTGAAAAGTTTATTTTAGAGATGGCTATAAGTATTTCTGTATCATGAAACATGAAATTAAAGCATGGATATTTGTAAGATTTAATATATATTAAGATGTTTGTATTAGAAATAACACATCCTATCATCTTTAATTACTGGTTTGTAATATCAGATAAAATTGCTTTCTTTCCTCTTTGACTAGTAATTTTGGCTTTCTGTACTTATATACTAGGGTTAAAAATTATCAGTTGAAATATACTATTACTCCTTATGCTCTAGGAATTAGGGTCTCGGTTTCCAGAAGAAAGAGGGTAGAGTGTTTCAGAGGTATTTCCTGTTTCATTTTGTTAGTTGGCAGTTTCACATTTCTATATCTAGAAAGGCTTTTGTGTTTTAAACCTTGAATGGTTTGTAAATTTCATTTAGGAAAAAACCTGGAGATGTAAAGAAACACCTGTTATTAAATTACACTTTATCACTGAGCTCAAAACTCACCCTCTGTAATTATTTGTGAAAGTCTGTGTTTATAATAGAATAATTTACAATACATTTGGTTTAGGTATAATAATACAACCAATACTGAATACCGTAGTGCCACTAAATTGCAGGGACCATATACGCTGTCCTTCAGAAATTGCTGTTGGCTGGGGAGTCAGTCTGACCCCTTCAGAGGCCAGCCTGCCTTTGCACCGTTTTGAAGCCCAGCAGCCTTGGGTACTGATGGGGCCTCTGCTCACTCTGCACCTCTTAGTAGGACTTTGTGTGCTGTGCAGGTGCATGAGCCCTGTTCCTGGCTTCTTTCATCGTATTCTCTCTTTCCTTTGAAGACGGCATAAAGAGTGCTGAGCTCAGTTGGTTGGAATGTCTTGAATTTGTGGACTTGATTCCTGACATTCTGTTAGCTTTTCTCACTTTTTAGCCATAGCCTGAACACCTAGATTGTGAGACCAGTCAGCCCCCAAAACCATGGTAAGTACAGATGTTTCAGCACAGTCCCTCACCACTCTTAAGGAGTAACCAGAAGAGCATGGTACACTGGCACGTCCCAGTAGCAGGGGGAAAGGACAGCAAAACAAATGGGAAAATGGCGTTTGCCTCTGGGGCCTCACAGTTGCTGAACAAGATGGCACCCCCTTAAGAGGCCACTGAGGTCTGTTGTACAGAACTTAGGAAAATAGGTACAAAAGTGGGATTTTATAGTCATACTATAATCCTGTCATCCTGTATCCAGTTGATTAGGACAATATCTCTGTTACCACCTTGAAAAAATAGATTCTTATACATGGATTAGTCAGAACATCATTCCTTAATTCTCCTCACAAACCTGCTCTCTGGGCCACTTTCTTCTGGAGCCTGAAGAGGGCTGCGTGCAAGATAAGAGGCCAGTCCTCTGCTCCATTTTGAAACTTCAGCAGCCCTGGGATTGCGAATTTGGTTGACATGTGTCTCCCAAAATGTTTCCAGTGTTTGAAAATTTACCTTTTTATAACACAAAGTTATTTTAGGTTTGTATATTTATTTTGATAGTAGCTGACTTTTGAGGTTTCTAGCTGTTCTGATAGAACATTGATTTCCGTGAAGCATCCGTCATTTTCCCTTGTTTAAAAAAAAATCTTGGGCCAGGGATTTAGCTCAGTGGTTCCGCCGCCTGCCTTGCAAGCGCAAGGACCCAAGTTCGATCCACGGTACCAAAAATAAATAAATAAAAATCTTATCCTCTCCTATATTTGTGTGACACTGTCATATTATTTTTGGTATGTGGATAAAAATTCACCATTTTAGCATTAAAAATTAAGCAGTAAGTACATTCACAATGTCCTACGACCATAGCACTATCCATCTCCAGTAATTATTCATCATCTTAAACTGAAACTTCATATATATTAAACAGTAACCCCCCATAACTCCCATAACTACCATTCTCCTTTTTTTTGGTACCAGAGATCGAACTCGGGACCTTTCGCTTGTGCCCCAGGCGCCGGAACCACTGAGCTAAATCCCCGGCCCTCTTTCTCCTTTTTGTCTCTGTGAATTTGCCCATTCTTGGTATCTGTATAAATGGACTTATACTGTTTGTCTTTTTGTGCCCAGCTTACTACAGTTAGCATATTTTCAAGGTTTATCCACATTGTCCACATATCAAAATTTCATTCTTTTTTGCAGCTGAATGATATTCCATTGTATGTATATACCACATTTTATATACCCATTCATCTGTTGGTGGGTATTTGAGTTGCTTCCACATTTCAGCTATTGTGAATAATGCTGCTAGAATATTGGTGTACAGTGTATGTCATATCTAATGCTTAGCCAATCCTGCCTGGCTGAGTTTGCTTTTTCCCTTGCGTTTACATCTTATTTCCTCAACAAGATAATAATTCCACATGTTAGGCGAGGGCCTTACACTTCCTGATATTTTCCAGCCTTTATTCTCCTTCACTCAGTGTATTGTATATTATAGGGATATAAATACTTGATGGTGATAATGACAAAATAAGCTAAAGTTAAAGAAATATGAAAAGTGTTTTGAGGTATACAGTATTTTGAACATTATGTTGTATCCTTATTTACATAGGGAGAATATTTGAGTTGTTTTCTGAAGCTCCATTAAATGGGGGCCAAAATCCATTTGTGTGCTCATTTCATTTCTTAGTTAACATACTATCACACTGTCTTCTCATTTTCAGTTGTGTAATAATCTGAGTAGCAGCCATGACATATGTATGAGGTCACGGGTGAGGAAAATTTAAATAGGTCTGTCTGATTAAATGTGAACCTATAGAAGTTTTTTGCTGTTGCTTTTATCTTTTGGATCAAGGACAAGGAGTTCAAATACTACAACAAGTGGGAGGTGAAAGCTGGGTCTCCTGTCCTAGGAAGTTGTAAGGGAGGATATGTTGAATTTCTCTTGCAGACATAGGTCTTGGGCTGGGGTATAGCTCAGTGGTGCCACACCTGCCTGGCAAGTGCAAGGTCCTGAGTTTGATTCCTGGTACCCACCCACCCCCAAATAAATAAATAAATAACCAGACATATGTCTTTATCCTAGAGTTGTTATGAAAAGCAAAGATAGCTTTATATATGTGAACTGCAAATGAACCTCATAATGGAAACCTTATATTTTGTATTGAAAAAAGAAGCAGGTTAATTGAAGTTCAAATTTGGGATAAGTATTAATTTGTGTCAGACATTTGATGGAAAGTTACAGTGATGTAATTGTAGAATATTTTATAACATTTCCTTATGTTGGGCACGTATTTATTGCTTTGTGAGGAACAAAACTTTGCTTTTCAGTTATACCTAAGATATATGCCATATCAGAAGAATGTTCCTGAATGGGCCTTTGTTTAAGGCTTTTAAAGTAAACAACAACAAACATGAGGAGATGGTTTAAACTAGACTTGCTTTGATGAAATTTCATCGGCTGGCTATCTGTACATAATCAGGTGTGCACACAGAGAGGGTGACAATGGGGCTATTCAGGCAGGGTGTAGGGACACAGGCAAACAGATTGTTCATCACCTGACAACTGACTGGGCCATTAAGAATGCCTGCATTCTTACTAATACTTTTTTTTAAAAGAGAAAGCATAAAAATCTATTTTCATATAGCTTGCTAGTAAAAAAAAAATGATTCCCTTATAAATATCTGTTAGAATTTACTACTATAAAACAAACCACTCTCACCCACACCTTTCTGCCTGCTTAGTATTGCAATACTAGTCTTTTCAGTGATACTGTTTTATGGCAAAATGTCAAATTTAAAACTGGTTTTTTTCATAGCAAAGCTCAGCTTTATTTGGGAAGCTTTTTTTGTTTTTTAAAGTTCAGTAATTTCAGTGATATAATATTCTTTTTTTTTTTTTTGGTACCAGGGATCGAACTCAGGTTCTTGTGCTTGCGGGGCAGGCACTGGAACCACTGAGCTAAATCCCTGGCCCTTGGGAAGCTTTTTCTTCTTTTCATATAATTCAAAAAGCAATCTTTAAGGCCTTTCCATGAACTTTACTGATAGTTCATGCAAGCATGTGTATGTCTTGCCATTCGTGGTGCTAAGCTGTGGACGTCTCCTTTCATTGATGGAGAGTGATTTCTGGGTAGTTTCAGAAACCCTTTCCACCCATTTCCTTTCTCCTCACCAACACCCTGTCCTGCCGTCACAATTCACAGCTGATTTTGCTTGCCCTCTAGTGCAAATCACAGGCAACTGAGTTTACCAGGTGCTAAGCGGGTTTTTATGAAAGATTTCAACTGGCTTTCACTCTGGTTGTACATAGCAACCTGATAAAACGGACTGTCTGGTTCATGAGACATACTTAATACAAAATTAGCCTATGGAAAAGCGTATTTCAAGTACTAAAATTTCCTGTGGATACTAAAATTTTCCTGTGGAGGTATGGGTTGTGCACCAACCAATGATGTTTTTGATCTGCAAAGGAACACTTCATCTACAGAAGAGAAGCTGGTAGACAAGCCAGAGGTCATTTCCCCATTTTCCTTGGGCTGTATTTTTTCTGGGGAGCCTTGCAGAGGTGCCCATGTTGGTGCTGCATGGCGATTGTCACTGCTGTCAAAGCCAGGTCTTCTGTGGCTATAGGACTGTAGCAATTCTGTGCGTAAGGCAAACAGCCTTGCTTGTAGCATTCTGAGAAACGACTCTGATTTCTAAGATCTTAATTTACAGGGCTCCCCCCCCCCTTTTTTTTTTGCTATTTGCCAGTGACATAGTTTGGATTTCTGTTTTCAGGCAGGCAGTATGTGATAACCCACTGAGATGCATTTCCTCTTCCAAGAAGCTTGTGTACAGTTTCCTTCTGAGCATATCGGTTCCTCTTTATGCACACCAAGAAAAGAGTAACCCAGCTGTTTTCTTATTTTCAGATTTGACTGAAGAACACCTTGGGGATGGCGGCTCAGCAGACAGTACAGAGGCCTTCAGTGACAAAGATACTGACCAGAGGAGCTCCCCAGATGTGGCCAAAAATAAGAGCTGCTTCACTCCCGAAAGTCCTGAGATAGTGTCTGTGGATGAAGGGGGGTTTGTTGCCCAGAAAAACGGAGGCAACCCTGAGAGCCACCCAGGGAGCCCCAAGTACAACGCGGAACAGAATCACCTCCTGATCGAGGGCCCGTCGGGGACGGTCTCCCTGCCCTTCAGCCTGAAAGCCAACAGACCGCCCCTAGAAGTGTTAAAAAAAATTTTCCCCAACCAGAAGCCCACGGTGCTCGAGCTCATCCTGAAGGGCTGCGGGGGGGACCTGGTGAGCGCCGTGGAAGTCCTTCTGTCCAGCCGCTCCTCAGTGGGCGGGGCCGAGCGAACTTCTGCAGAAGCCGAGAGCCTCATGCTGCCCTCGAACGGGCACATCTTCGAACACACCTTGAGCTCCTACCCCATCTCCTCGTCCAAGTGGTCTGTGGGCTCTGCCTTCCGAGTCCCAGACACGTTGAGGTTTTCTGCGGACTCCAGTAATGTCGTCCCCAACCCCTTGGCTGTGCCTCTGCAGCACCCCTTCCCCCAGCCGCCCCGGTACCCACTGATGCTGAGGAATACTTTGGCCAGAAACCAGTCCAGCCCCTTTTTGCCCAACGACGTCACCCTGTGGAACACCATGACCCTGCAGCAGCAGTACCAGCTGAGGTCCCAGTACGTCAGTCCCTTCCCCAGTAACTCCACCAGCGTCTTCAGAAGTTCGCCTGTCCTACCCACTCGAGCCACAGAGGACCCTCGGATCTCCATCCCCGAGGACGGGTGTCAAATTGTAACAAAGCAGTCCATTTACACGGAGGACGACTATGATGAGAGGTCTGACTCTTCAGACTCTAGAATACTCAACACATCATCTTAAAGTGGAACCTAAAGGGTGGTGACCAGGTGACACTTTCTGTGCATTCGAACCCTGGGGCACCCCAGGAGACACCATGTCTAGTGTACCCCTTTCCTTCTGTTTGACAAAGTGACTGTGCTTGATATTCTATACATTAGCAATAAAAGCATAACTTATTTAATTTCTTGCACTTCATTGGAAAATGCCAAATAGCTCTGCTCTGTGGCTTTAGTGCTGAATGTTTATTGTAAAAGAGAGTCTAATGCTAAGAATAGTCTTGGGAAGGCTGGGTTCATGGGAGATTTGCTTGGGGATGTAAAACTGATGGTCAGCCTTGGTCCTAAACTCAGCCTGGAATGTTAAGTAAAATAGTATACTTGAACGAGATTTTGTAAAAGGGGATTCCTCAGGATATGTGAACCCTAAAGGAAGTGGTTTGGTGGCAAATGGACTATAAACAGGGACGTTATATTTGTATGCTAAAAAAAATCCTTCTTGCATTTTAAAGAGAGACTGCACTTCAGAATTTAAGAATAGAGTGAACTGCTCAGGCTTGGACAGTTTTCAGAGACAAACTCATTAAGAATTATTCTTTTCACATGGCTGAATTGAAACACGTGTAACGTCAATGTAAAACCAATCACAGCTGTGAACTGCATGAAATGTATTGTGAAATGAACACAAAATTAAGCTTGTCAGGTTAATGTAGCATGCTAAGGACTCTAGGAAAAATAAACTAAGGAGATGATCTTGGTTTATGTCATTTCTGCTTGTAGAAAGAGGCTCTAAAAATAGAAACTTGATATAAAAAGCTACTTACTAAGGGCCAGGGATGTTGCTCAGCAGCACAGTGCCTGGCTGGCAAGTGCAAGGTCCTGAGTACAATGCCCAGTACCAAAAGAAAAGAAAAACTACTTACTAATGCATGGGTCAGAAACCAAGATAATAGTTAAATGATGCCCTAAATGAGACATTTCTTAAGAAATATGAATGGCAGTTTTAGAGCTGCAGTCAGAAAACTGAAAATTGTTCAAGAATAGAGTTAATTAATTTCCCTTGTTCATCCATTCATTTCTTCAACACATACTTAGAGAGTGCCTACTAGGTGTAAGAGAATGTGCTATCTGTACTATTGCTCAAGTTACCCATGGGTCCAAGAAAGGTAGAGATTACAGTGGAGAATCCCATTAAAAAGAGTAAAAATGAAAAACTATCAAAAATGTATAGTTGAGTGTGGGAAGGAAGTAATATGCTGAGCACCAAACCTGCTGTGGAAAGTACTCAATACATGACCACTCTTGGTTCAGCAACTTTGCATCCAGTGTAAAACAGATGGGAATTTCCTCATTCTCACTTGGAGAAGATGCCATTCTAGTTTCAGGCAGAATATTGAGGGCTTCCCCCTCCTTTTAAAAGTACCCTGGAGGGCACTGTATGTGCCAATATTCCCTTTTGGCTCTTTTTAGAGAGAATTTTCAAGCAGTAATATTCAGTGGTGCCCACACCAGCCACTTCTTTGACTTGCTGTTTCCATTCCTCCAAAGTGCTTGAAAGACAGGATGACTGCTTAGGTCAGACAATCAGTTCGTGAATGTGGAAGGGAAAGTAAATAAGCAAATGAATAAAAGCCCCTCCAGGACAAGGATTCACGAGAGCTCCCAATGCAACAGTGAGTCTTGGCTCTGGAGCGCACTCAGCCTAAGATGCTCCCAGGCCAGGATGGGTTCCGGGCCAGAGAGAGTCTTATACAAAACAAAACAACCTTCTTGCTTGTTTACTGGGCATTTCTGGAATGAGAAATTTCTGAGGGGGAAAAATTCCTTACATTAGCTGTACTGATATTATTTTATTGACATACTTTCATTCCAAGAATGTTTAAAAGTAAATACAATTTGTTGTTGAGGTTATATGCAAACTTTCATGTTTATATAAGAAAGAAAGAGACTAATTTGCCCCTGGTCTAAAGATACACATTCAGGACAGGTTATGTGGCTGTGATGTGCTAATGTATGGGTCTCCTAGACAAATGTATTTTGAAAGGCATTTTCATCTCCAAAGTTTACCCATATTTACTTAACAAGCAACAGTGATAACCTACCATATGACCCAAACTGCTCCCAAGTCTCCTTCTGGATGTTACTTCTCCAGGATGAATGACCCACATTGGACAAAGCTTGGCCCATAGGTGTTCTTACACCTTAATCTCCCCTTCAGATTGCCACTGTCATTGATTTCTTTTCATGGCAACCAGAAAATCAGAATTATCTGTAAAACAGTTAATTCATGGACTAGTGCAAGTATGTTTGGTTCTCAATAGAATGTTCCTGAAGAAAGAAATGTTGCTTTGGCGGGCTAAGAGTGTTCTGGGTCAGAAGTGAGAAATGTGGCTGTTAGATCCTATGTCCTGCCTCCAGTTTTGCTTTCTTATAAACATCTTGCTGAGACCCTCTTAGGAAAGTGACAAAACTTCTAAATTCTAACTCAGCTCTCAAAGACCAGCCTGGTCCACCATGTAGAGGTCAAGAGAACAGGAATACCCATCTGCCCATGGGTGCTCTGTTACTCTTCTGTGTGAAACTGAGTATCTGCCTGCACACAAAACACAATCACCTGTGTGAGTTCAAGTTCAGTTCCATGGGACACACAGAACTTCTGGGTGCTTGGCTGTACTCTTCCAGTTTTCATCAGGTGATGTTTAACCTGGGAGTCAGCCCAGTCGGATGGAAAACTAATTCATGTTAAAGTATCATGTCTGTCTTTCCTGCTGGTGAGGCTCGGCCAGCTCTTAGTCTCTGTGTAAATGCCTTTTTCACCTGAGGTGCTGTGAATGTGGGGTGGGTTAGTCGTTTCTAGATCATTGTCTCCTAGTGGTTCAGGCATCCAGAGGCTAACTTTCTAGTTAGCCTAGGCTCCCCTTGTTGAGTTCGAATCCCTGGTAGCCTATGCAGTACAATTTTATCATTCTTTCAGGGAATTGGTAAAGTCACTGAGATTAGAGAATGATTTCCTTCCTCATTATGTCCTTCGTTTTCTTCTCAGTTCAATACCAAGTAGGACTGAGGGATATAAACTCATGCTGAGATTTCTGAGTCATGCCCCCATTCCCTCTTTCTTTTATTTGGGAAGGTATTTCCATGTTGTAAGCAGTCTTAGCGCATACCCTAGATCTAGTTCAAATAGCTTTGGTATTAGGGTCAACTATTAGTTTGAATACATGTTTGGGGTCAGAAATGCTGGTTTCTGAATGACCAATGAAACTTCTTGTTGGAAGGGACCAGACAGTGCATAAATCTGCTACTCTTTTCCCCAAGGAGAGGACTAGGACTTTTGGTGGTATGGATCCTTCTAGTTCCATTATTCCCTGTTAACTAGTAACTCTGGAAATAGGTTTTGCCCTGCGGCTTTGAGTTTTAAGAAAGGTCAGCACTCTTGATGGTGGGAGGAAATTAATTTCATAGATGAATTGAGAACCAAGGTGTATATAAATGGCTGTGGTTGAAATGACTAACAGGGCAATGAAGGGGCAAGTACCAGGGAAAAGGGGCAGTGATTCCAGCTGATCGCAAGCTGTTTAGCCAATCAACAGGCTTCTGAGAGCCAAAGAACATTTTAAATTTCTGAAAAGAAATAGATCCAGAGAAAGGGATGAGAAGTGTAGCCATCAGATACTAAGGGATTGCTCAGTAGGGGTGCCACTTCCGAGGGTCCCATCTTGTCCTGTGGGTGGATTGGGCCAGAGGTGGTGGGAGGAGGCATCCCAGGAACACTTGTTGGGTGCCCAGAAAACAGGCTCTGACTGCATTTGTACTGACAAATTTGAAAAACGAACCTGATTTCAACTGCATACTGTTTCAGTGATTCATTCTTTATATGTGCATTTACTCAGCAGAAGAGAGTGGAAAATAAGATGGATGCTAAATTTATATGTTAATTTTAATATTGAAGCTATCCTATATTTGAAGAATAAGATCGATGCTTCAATTTCATTTCTTTTGTGGTACTGAATGTTGTCATTACTAGGAAAAAAATCATTTCCGAATGCATCCTCCCCAAATTCCAATCTCAGAGGACAGAGAAGTCTCCAGAGAGGCAATCTTGCCTTTTGCTGATGGTCTGCTCAGGATATGCCTCGGCGTTCCCACAGTATCATTTACTATTTCAGTGTCAAGGGTAAATAACAAGGGTAGTGGTTTTGCCTTAAATTACAGTGGAGTTTATTTACTAATTGGATTCTGAGAGTTTGCTGGGGTTGTTGGCCTATGTCAGAAGTGTCATGTATCCCACAAGCAAAGCCACTGGACTTAACCAAAGGTAAACTCAGCAACCGTTGGGAAAAATTATCCCTCCAGAAGGCTTGAGTTACTGCCTGGTGATTTTAGACCATGACCTCACACTTACATTGGGATGTAGATGGAAGAGTCCAAAGGTCTGTGGAAAGTTCTTTGGAGGAAAACAAGGAGTTTTTGCTCCCCAGCCAAATATGGCAGAGCCAGGTGAGTGACAGCTGATGAGGAGAGCAGGAGAGGTGGGCCGGAGACCTTCCTCGGCTCCAGGGCTGTAGAGATAGGTGGGCGCTGTCTTCTCCAGCAGGGTGCTGTCTCCCCAGGCAGCCCTTAGCCTTCCTCCCTGGCTTCTGCCTTCGTGGGTGGGTGCTGGGTGCCATAAGTGCTGTAGTGGCTGTGGATTCTGTGTATTGCACCAAGGGATCCAGCTAATGGGGCAAATGAGGGCTCAGATCCCCAGTGGTTCCCCCTTTAAATTTGTCAGACATAGAAGATGCTGTTTGGGGAGGAGCCTCTTTCTCTTGGCAGAGGTACATCAAAGTGTAGCAGAGATCCTAGGGGAAAACAATGAATGCATTGCAAGGGAACAACTTTAGCACTAAAAAGGGTAGTTATGGAAACCATGGATAAATAATTGTCATCCAATCTCCCTTGGTCTGTTCCCTTGAGAAAATAGGAAGTAGTTTCAGTTCAGTTAGTTTCTAAAACCTTTACTCAACGGAGTTGATATTAGAAATGCAAGGGAATGTTGGAAAGAGAGGTACAGAACTAATCTTTATTGAGCACCTACTACTTGTACCTGTTAGGTTAGTTCTTCTTCTTCTTTTTTTTTTTTTTTTTTTTTTAATGTGCTGGAGATGGAATCCAGGGCCTTGAGAAACTAGGCTGGAGTTCCACCAGTGAACTACACCCCAGCCCAGCCTAGTCCATTCTGACCTCAGGATGTCTCTGATTGTCCCAGATCTGCAGCTAGCTCAGGGTACCAGCAGCCAAGGGCAGATACCATTCGGGGATGCCCGTGTAGACAGCAGCGTGTGGAACACAAAGGAGGTAGATGAATGAAAATGTGTATAGCAAACTCTGACTTGTGCGGTTTCCTGTCTCTGCTAGAGAGATCTGTGAACCAACTGCATGAGATCATACAGTAAGGCCTGTGATTCCCTACAGACCTTGCATCTTCAGGAAATATTATGTCTAGTGTATTTAGTATTGAAAATACTATATCCACAGTTTTAAAAATTGGAAATATGCTCTGTGTAGCACTGTTCATACCGACAGAGGAAATCTTACTAATCCAACACCAATTTATTTAAATTAGCAACTCCAATCCCCTTCTAGATATTATTTTTGCAGATCTAATAATCTAAATCCAACCTAAATGCAAATTAACTTACTAAAAGACAATTCTACCCAGAATTCTGTTTTTCAAAATATGGTTTGGAGTTATGTGACAGA